GGAGCGGAAGAAAGGAATATAATAAATAACGGGAGGAGGAAGAGTCAGAAGGAAACGAGAAAAAAGGAGAGCAAGAAATATCTAAAGAGGAAATAGTAAAAGTGTTAAGAAAACTCAAGAGAGGCGGAATTAGAATGAGGCAAGGCGAGAGAGAGAGAGAGAGAGAGATTAATGCCAAATGACATATAAGCGATATTCCATAATATCGTGAACAGAGCTAGGAAAGGAGTAGGCATGCCAGAGAGAGTAGTGAAGAAATGGGATTCTTTGTCCAAATTCCTTTGTACAAAAAAGGAAATAAGGTTTTAGCAAAAAAAAACTTATAGGGGATAATGCTGATGAATACAGCATGCAAGGTATACATGAGCATCATAAATGTGAGATTAAAGAGAACATCAGGGGAAGTTGGAAGAGGGACAATTTGGTTTCAGAGATGGCACAGGAACAATAGACGCAATGTATGTACAGTGCCGCTCAAAAGTTCCTTAACTCTTCCTACTGTCTCAAAACATTATATTTAAAGGATTTAAATACATGAATTGTTCAATTTGATGTTCTCAAGATACATTAACAATAATAATACATATTATATTTCGTAGTTTCTATAAAATTGGTAAGTGTCTACATATTTTTGAGCGCTAGTGCATATACTTAATTATATGATGAATAGAGGAATAAGCAAACAAAAGGAGAAACTATTTACAAACTTCTTAGATATCAAAGCAGAGTTTGATGGAGTAGATAGATTCAATTGATGTAGAGTCTGAAGAAGCTAAGAAGGAGAATAAAGGAAATTTTTAAGAAAAAACACGAAATATAACAGAGGAATACACAATGAAATATACGGAAGAATTACGACAAAAGGAATCCCAGAATATTTAAAGGGTAAAATAAAGAAAAGAGATAGAAGCATAATTGCAAGGTTTAGATGCGAGAATGAAAACATTCATTGGGTACATAATAAGCATATGCGAGGTTACAAAGGGTTGGATAAGTGCGGACGAGAAATAGAAGACTCACGAGTTCAAAATCAAAGAAGCAGCGATATAGTGCAAATATACAGAAAAGGGGAAGAATTAAATAGATTTACAGTTTTATAGAAAAATCGTATTACTTAGTTTACGTAAATACAATTTAGTATTAAGTATTAAGTATTATGTAGTATGTAATAAAAAGACAGTTGTAAGCCACAAGCCATCCTAAGCCGAAAGGCGAGGATTATATAAAATTATAAAATAATAATAACTAAAAATTGATGAAATAACAATTGTTCAAAAATTATTTTCTTTGTATATTTTACCATAGAATATTTGTTAAGTACTTCAAAAATGCACGGAACTGTAACAAGCTATATCTTTGTTTTGGTTCGAGTTAGGAAAACACGTTAAAAGAAAAAGATGAATGTGAAATAAATAGTTTTCTCGTAGATGGACTCGTAAAGATCATACAAAGATCATCGACGTTTTTCTAAATAGATATTTATATCTTTTTCGCATATATCGAATCCTTTCTTTATTCTGCGTAAAGAAAGTGTAGAGTAATATTATCGAAAAATGAATAGCTTAAAAGAATTAAAGAAAAATGTCTTTATCGAAGTAAATACTCATTCTAACGCGATGTAAACATTCATTTCATTTATAGTAGAAGGAAATATGTCTCAGTCAACGATAATTTGTGTTGACGTGACTGTCAAGCCTAGAGTTGATATGTATGATGTGTATGTGGAGTCTAACAAAAATGCGTCTGCAGCAGTCGAGTGTATCGAGAGAAATATTCCGAGCGTCGTCAACCATCACGAATATACATTTACAGATTAGAGAATAATTTAAAAAAGTATGGAGCATTCGTAAAGCCAAAAAAGAATATTATAAAGCTAGCAGTAAACAACGAGAATAACATAATAAATGTCTTAGCATACATAGAATTTAATCAAAACGTTTCGACACGAGAAATATCAAAAGAATGCAACATAAGTCAAGCTTCCATTGTACGATTATTAAAATTACAAAAAAATTACATTCTCATTGTTTCAGTATTGGACAATATTATATTATGGAGATGAAATGAAACGCACACAATTTTACCGATTTGTATTAAATGAAATAGGAAAAGATGAAAATTTTCCTCAAAATCCGTGAATTACCCTGCATATTTAGACATTTAAAAGGATGGAGAATTGATGAAACAAAAAAAAGTAAGTAAGTGCTAGGCACAAACCTAGTTCCACAATTCCACAGCCAAACATTTAACTCGCTGACAAGCTAATCGGACCATTGAAATACATGGAATACGTGGAATACATGATCAATACAGGGGGAAAAAGTACACGATTAATTGTACTTGAAAGTGAGTTTTAATAAAGGAAATAATGTACTGGAATGTCCAAATTATATTCTCAAATTTGTGGGTCTTAATAGTTGTTTAAAAATTGTATGACTTATGTGCCTCGCATAGGAAAATGTGACAGAGGAGAGTTAAAATAATATAACTTTTTAGACACTTGACTAAATGATTTGTATTTTTTTAGAAATGTTGTAAGGTCTAGTTTACGATATAATTATTAAAATACTTCTTTTTAATGTCGCTAATACTTGGTATAACAAAAAAAATAAAAAAACTTACGTTTTTTTCAACTTTTTTATCTAAGCCTGTAACGAAAATTTTAAAAATTGGTTTTATAGATCTCTGTAATTTACATGCATACTGAATATTTTATAGAAATCGGATGACTTTGTTATGAGTCATAAACAATTAAAGATAGCGAAAATCGCAGTTTTCCACGACTTTCGACCAACAACTGTAAAAAATCTATAGAGATTTTTACATTTTTCAACGTCAGTAACTAGACTCTGCGTTAACCGCAGTTTCGATAAAATTTTCAGTATGCGTATAGGTTACTGAGACCTACGAAACACACTTTTTAAATTTTCATTATAGACTCAGACAAAAAAAGTTGAGGAACTGATTTTTATTTTTTTTTCAGTTGTTGTCATTCCAAGTAATAGCAAAATTAAAAATAAAAACATTAACATTTCCAATAAATTCACGTAAATTATTTGAGATGTAAAATAGTTATACCATTTTAGAAGGTGTCCGAATATTTTGTTTACCCATTGTACATTCAAATGTAACGCGCTGACTTAATTTTTCAATTCCATCTGTGAACTGTTCTGTAAGTCTAGAATCTTCACATGAATTGTGCACTTTTTCCATTTTAGATGAGGTTTTTAATTTTATACAAGCAAGATTTTCAATTTAAAAAGCTGAAACGAATTTCCAAGTATGTATTTAAATGTTTAACATGTCTCGGATGTTTCTCAAAATTTCTAAACATCAATATCTAGAAAAAATGGGCCAAAAACTGATTTTTCGATTTTACCGAAATATGTTTACCCCCTTGATGCTCTATCGAATGGTGCATTGACCACACAATTCGGCTCTAAGGCATTTTTGACCCCTATGACCCTAGCTATACCTTTTGTTTATTGCAAGAAGAAAGGGGTGAGTATCATACACTCTTTTTCAATTATTAGTTCAATTAATTGTTTTAACTGTTGTTTTCTCTACTCTGTCATACGGTATACTAATTTATATACACGCATCTTTTTCATTGTTTCATAATTCAATAAAGTGTTGTAACGTACGGAGAATTTTCCCACGAATTTTTTATACTCCTTCCTGAAGGCATACGCCAGGCTGGCGCCAGCCAGCCAGAGGTTCATTTGTATATCGCGAGTCAAGTACCTTCAAGGGGGTACGACGATGAACGTTCTGGAATCGGACCACATAGGAACACCCTCACTACCATTTCCCAAAGAAAATCTGGGTATATAAAGGGCCCAAACGTGACAAGAAGCTACATTCCTCCACAAAATCCATCCTTAACCAATGACGAAACAATCGAGATAGAACATGTCGAGTGACAGTCAGATATCGAATTTACGGCAACGCGACATCATCCTCGAACATAAAACGCAACTAACATATCTGAAATCGCAAATCATTTGTAACAGTGCGTAATAAAGTGTACATAGTATATTTTATTGTGCATACTGAAAGAGGGCAACATCTTCATCGTATTGCCTTCGTATACAATCAGCACTGCAAACGATGAGATAGTTTCATCAAGACAGAGCTCCAACACATAATTCTCGAGTCTCGTGTTGTTGCTACGTATTTAACCATCGCTTGGAGAATTCAGAGTCCATGAGGACTCATACAATACTTATGTTTACATATGCCGTGACTTCTAGTTGCGGCTAGTATCGCGGTTGATTTATTACCCCTACTCTCACCTAAACTCCGTGAGACAGCAGTCGTTTCACATAGCATAAAGATATAAACCAACGTGCTGCTAGATTTGAAAATATGGAGACAGTAATTCAACCTCATGTCGTGAATTAGAGAATCCTGTACGAATAATCATAACCTTGATATAACTTAGAACGTCTGAAAAATCAGTCGAAGGGGCGTCCTAGAGATGTCCCAAATGAATGTTCGTCGTTCGGATATAAAATATTTTTTAAATATATTAGAAATACTTCTAAAACAATTTTACAAAAATACCATTGATTGTTATACATATAGCTAGATAGTAAAAAGAATGAATAATTAATTAAACAAAACAAGTAGGTAAGTGCTGGGTACGAACTTAATATAAATAGGTCCACAATTTTACAGTCTAACATTCAACTCGCTGACAAGCTAACCGGATAGCTGGAATCAATATAGTGGGTAAAAAAAAGTATTCGAACACTTTTTAACCCCCCACACTGGGTCAAAACGACCCACATTATTCTTTTCGAAAAAGTAAAATTCGTAGGTCGTTCGGATATAAATTGGACATAAAACGGTTGTCCTATACACGTACGGTACTATCTGGGGGCACGCCCCATTTTAATACCATTTAACTTTCCCTTCCCCTACTTTTTCTATCTTTAAGCGATATAGCTTGTCTCTATAGATTGTTGGAAATGGCATTTGAAATAATCTTGTATCAGTTGCCGATGTAACAAATTTATTAACGGACTTAAAATTACATACAATATTACATTTACTTAATATAAAGGAAATTTATGCTAAAAATGGGTATTTATCACGAAGCATTTGAATGCCTTCGCCTGAATCGGTGCTACGACCCGAGCCGCTAGGACTAAGTGAAGGAACGGTACACAATTCAGATGTCTCTTCCATTATTAACTGTTGTATTTTGATTCTTGTTCGCAATTTTTTTTGTCGTGGTATCGCCCGTAAATGGGGAAGTAAACTCATGACAAAGAAATAATCCTCGTCGTCCACAATCGTCCTGTCCTCGTTAGCACTTACAATTAATCCTTTTAAGTGTTGAATGTTATCTTCTCTCAATTGAAAAAGCTCATGAATGGGATGTTTTATCTCTTGTGGCCTTTGTTGCGGTCTTTTAAATACTTGCATTTCTTCAATGATCTCATCGTCATCCTCTTCATTCTTTTCGATATCTTCACACGATTCAGTTTCTTTATCTGACACATGCTCGGATTCATTTATAGTATGGTTTAGTGGCGAGGTTTCGAAACTATTTCGAACCAAGCGTCTCGAGTAATACGAATGCTGCAAAAAACCCATGAGATCGAAATATTTCCATTTTGACTCATTCTGTAATCCAGATTCTACAAATCGGTTATTCCTTCCAATTTCTCGTCGATGAGTATCCCTCAGATGTTGCCATTTTATTTTAACGGCAGAACCTGAAAATACGTAAATAATAAAAGATAGTAAGATATAATGGTTAAACATTGCCAATGAATCATCTTCTCAATACATCGATGTATATGTTATACAACGCTTGTAAACGCTCAATTTTGAAAACTGAAATGTGTTCTGATTACTTTTAATCAATAAAGTCTAAAATAGGGTATATTTTATTTTCGATCGTAGTAGTCTTAAAAATAAAAAATTTGTCTCGAAATGGTCGTAATTTCTGACAAATATTGTAATAAAAGATTTTTGTAACAATATCATAGTAATATATTCGTTGAAGGAAAATAAATTGCTAATTAAATTTTTTTTTTTATTTCTGTTGGGTGCCGCAAAAAGATTTAAAGGTCTAAAATAGGAGTCACTCTATTGTAGATATTACAGCATATGAAAGCTAGAATAATAGTGGTATCTTCACAAAAACTGGTGTATGGCAGTCCATTCAGAAAATGGATTATATAATTTTCCACTAGAAAAGCTACTGCTAGGAACAAATATCAATGCATCCCATGTACTTGATATTCACTGGAAGAGTGAATAAGGACTGTATCCTAAAGTCGATTTTCAGGACAATGGAACCACAATTAAAAAATTGGTTTTTTAATGTACAATCATCCCCACCTTGATTGTACCACCGATGCTAGGACATCCTTTATAATACTAATATAAACAAGGAAAACTTACAGTCACATTCGTGCTTGAAAAAAATGTGAAGATATGTTAGCAGAGAATGGCTACATGAAAGTTTTGTTCAAGCAAAAATTCAGCGATCATCAAAGATGATGTTCTGAGAACTTGTTTTCTATACTTTTATGAAAACTTTAAAATGAAATATCTCAAGAACAATTCGTTACTATTATATTAAAATTACGTACAAGAATATATCCTAAAGGCGATTTCCACACCCGTGGTCTCTTCTTGTATGTAATTTTAACAAAGTAATAACGGATTATTCTAACTTTTTAAATAAAATGTTTGCTAACTTCGAAGTGATTTTTAAAAAAGTATCACCATAATCTTTTGTATACTACTTTTAGACATATTAAACTTTATGTCAATGCCCGAAATGGAAAAAGTTAGTGAAATAAATGTTAACGTGTTCACTCTACAAGCTCGTACTACGTTTGTTTATTTTATGTACAATGTAACGAAAATTTCAAAAAGAAAATGAAAGAAAAATATAAGAAGAGAAAATATAACCTTCTCTCAAAGCCACATACACGAAACAATCACTACGAATTTTCAAACATTTTCGCAAAACTGATGAAAGAACTTTTCGAACAAATATTCAAGTAAGAATAAATTATGTTAATAAAAATTTGCAAAAGACAATTTTTTCATGAAATCACATATCTTTTTGTGATAATCAATGCATCTTTGAATCCTCTTTAAAAAAGTATTAAGATACTTAGATCGAAAATTACAAGTTATGACTTGTTTCTAACGCACTCAGATAAACAGAGCCCCGTTAGAGACTGACAAAAGAAGATTGACAGACACGTCGAGTCACAGGAAAGACGCAAGTCTAATAGAAGTGATATTCTCAGTCATCAAATATATTATTCCAGGACTCTTAACATGGTGTCAGAAGTGTGATCATGAAGAAGGATAGATAAAGTAAGCGAACTAAAAAAATCGAGGAAGAAGAAACTATGAACAATGATAGTATGGACAAACACGAAGCAAGCACGACATGGATTCACAGACAACACATGGGCTCCAAGGCTCAAGGTAATCTCTTAAGATTGAATATTTTGGCTGCGGAAAATAATGTCATGGAGTGGAAAACATGGAAATTCGACAAATATTTTGAACCAAGAAGAACTTTGACCATGTTGAGACATTCATTTTTCGCAAGAAAAGGCAGCAATCGATGAAAGTATAGAATAATTCATAACAGAGCCCAAGAATATGAGCACGAGATGACAACTTTGTCAGTCACTAATTAGAGACGTATTTATAGCAAATATGAGCCCGTATGTGTCCGATGTACGTCAGCGTCTATTACAAGAGAAGGCCATGGAGATCGCAAAAGCAGTCACAATTGCACAGAGAAATGCGGAAAAAATGTGCGAAGAATCAACAACCACTGGGGAAGTGGACAATCAAAGTTAGCCATCCACTAAAGAGTCGAGACATAATCAGTTCAAGCAGTATCGTTCAGCATCCAACAACAGCATATGCAGTAGATGTGGACAAAGCCATCGTTACAAATGTCCAGCCATGGGGGTCAGGTGCAACACGTGTCAAGGTTTAGTACATTTCTCTAAATTCTGTTTCAGGAACTGTTACAGAATTCGAAAGGGCCTAGCCAATTATGATGGTCAAAATTACTCTTAGAGACTTTTTAAATGAGTACTATACCGTTCGATAGCTGACCAAGAAAAACTCATCTGTGCAAAATTTCAACCTTGTAACTTGTTTATGAGGGTAGTTACAGGGTAAATTAGATTGTACGCTTTTCTGCACATTTACCTCCTTCGGTGGCTTTTTAAAATTTTGGAAAGAATGTGACTTATTTTGGACATCAAGCCGCATGTTATAGAAAAAGTTGGAAAAAGTTGGAAAATTAAAGATTTCTCGAAAACAAAGATTTGTACTTTTTTATATTAATTCCCTGGCGGTGAATTTCATTATTATCATTCAATTTTTCTCAGACTTTTCATTCGGTTGAATCATTGTAAAAAGAATGAAAACCGAATTTGTCGACGTTTTTGCTGTGAGGAAAAAAGTTACTACTTGTTGGGTTTACCGCAAGTGTAAAAAATTACAGTCCAAATGGATCGCAAGTCTTTAGTGTATCTGTTAAAGAATTGGAAATGAGTCTTCAGAGAATTCTAGTAACTGCAAGTAAGATTGAGCGACGTTGATAATGTTGCTTATTGCACAATATAAGTAATTAACGCCACGTAAAAAAACAATCATAACAACCAAGTTGCAAGCTCTAACAATAAAACGAATTTGAGTCACGCATCACGGAGGACATATAAATGAAATACACGATGTATTGAAATGATACTTTAGTAAAAACATTCAAAAATTTAATTATTAAGTATGTAATTTTTTAGTATGTATATTAATTGGTAAGTGCTTAATTTTAGTATGCATGTTAATTTCGAGATGTGTAATGTTAGTATTTACTATACTAATTGTAAAGTGTTCAATTTTTGTTTGTATGAGAGAGGCACTATGATATTATAGGATATTATAAATATCCTGGAGATGGAGAAGTAGTTGGAGTGACTATTTTTTGTTTTGTAGCGACATTCATGCGTACGTTCCATCCAAGTGTAGCAGTAATACGCGATTGAATTTGATGAGAAACGGTACAATGCACTGTCTCTTTTATTTCCTTTAATATTATTCTAATCATTTCTTAATTTACTTGCTGGCTATATAAAAAGGCCACAACAAATCATTATGAATGGAGCATCCCTCTCATGACTGCACTTTTAAAACTTCAGTATAATTATAAATACACACTTATTTTATGTTAAAAATCTCTTATTTCGAATATCTTTTTCATTTTCTTCAGTTTGAAAATGTCATGTATACACAAGACGTTGTTATTGAAAAAAGAATACAAAATGCGATAAACGAAATACAAAAAGGAAGTTCGGTAAGTTCAATTGCAAAATCTTTTAATATATTATTACTATTTAATTATATACTAATTTAAGAAATTATGCTAATATTATTCTCTTTTATAAGGCTGCTTCATTCATATATGTCAATATTCCTTTTAATATCATCGATTTATGAGAAGAAGAAAATACACTGCTTAAAAAATAAAAAAAAATTATATATAAATGTAGAAACAGGTTAATGGTACTACATATGTTTATCCTTTCAATAGTTACCAAGTAGAAGTAGAATGATTGCTTCGTGTTTTTTATATCGTATTCAAAACAAAAAATGCCCTTTTTCATGGCACCTCTCCCCATAAATTGTATGCATGGAAATTCTAGTAATTCTAAATTATATGTAATTCTAGTAGGTACTTACTTGTAGTATTCAATAAAGTGGCGATCTCAGACCACAGCCTCCGACATACTTCTCTATTATGATATTGAGAATGTTTAGGATCCCATAAACTTCTTCTTTTCTCAACCAAAGTGATTAATCTTTCACAGTTCATGCTGAGTGCAACGATTGGAGATATATGATCAATCGTACTATGTCAAGATGACTGTACTGAGTGAAGCGCGGCAATGACTGATCGTGATTTATCCTTTTTCCGCGTCCAAGAAACTTGCTTTGCCTTGAATTTCGAACTCTATTCGTTTACGTATTCAAACGTGCGATGATCACTTTAATTTCTTGGCGCTATTTTTCCGTTTCGCTTTCATTACCAAACACGGGGTGAAACACGCAAACTACAAGTTTACGCGCATAAAGAAACGAACGGCTCATTTTTTTCCACAGAACTACAGTAAATTCTCTCCAATTGTCCCTCAGCTTGTAAACAAAAATGGACAATTTGGAAAGAGAGTATGCGATTATTGGAGCCCCGCGGCTCATTTTTGTAGATGTTGACAATCGGCGACTATAAAATCGAGCCGCGAGGCTCGAATAATCGTATCTCGTCTTCCCAAATTGTCAAGTTTTGCTTACAAGCTGATGAACAATTGGAGAGAATTTACTGTACGTAAACAAAAGTCAATCCCCCGTTCCGTTCAGTTAAAACCGAATTCCTGGAAACCTTGACAGATTTTTACGGAGCCTTGCACCGTAACAGTAGCGAATTCGGTCGAACTCGCGAACAAAATATCTTAAAATCTATGATACCCCTTAACCTCTTCCACTGGAATTACGTAGTATACACGTCATCGTTAGGCAGGTATAAAAAAATAAAAAAAATAATGAAGTTAGCTAGATATACAAATAACAATAAAGATTGTCCCTTTGCATTGTATATTTTGCACCGTGTCGAAGTTCATAGTACTGAACAAGATTATTAACAAAGATCTTCAAGCCACTGGTAATCTTGTAAATAATTGTATTAGAGGGTTTGGAACAGGCATCTATCAATAAATTTTCAGCGCAGGAGATTAAAGATGAAAACACTATACCTTTTTCTTAAAAGTGTTGAGAATGTTTTCGTTTTTACAATTATACTGTAAACATAAGTATATTGAGTCTAGTTTAGTAAACAACGTCTAAAAGATTTTGCTAATTATTATATTAGAACATACCTCACCGTTTTTGATAACTTTTAAATATGTTACCTTTGTACAAAATATCGCTTTGCTTCAGTTACTTTCGTTATGTATGTACATATACCGACGCATCTGAAGCGGCGAGTATATCACCGTCGCCGATTCTGTGAACTTCCTCAAATGTCACGTGACTCCATCTGTGACGTCACGGATGAGCAGTTGAGGTAAGTAGGAGTAGGGGACAGCAGTGTACTCCAACTCTGCTGAATTGTTCATCCGTGACACCACGGATGTACCACGCAACATTTGAGGGAATTCACGACAACGATGGCCAAGATTTCATCCTTGTATGAGGATATTTTTCACTGTAAAATGAGACATTCGAAAGTGGAAGGTTCAAAGCAACACGCCGTTCTCATGATTTAAGGAGATTATACAGATATGTATTTAATAATGTTTCGTAATATACAGTATTGGACGAATTTATTCTAACACTCTTTAAAACTTAATATCTTTTTTAAAACTTCAACTTTTAAATGATAGTGGGGCTAGTCTACTAGACAATCACTATAATGCTGCTTTTTTAATTTTCCTATTACTTAGAATAACAAAAGTATTAAAAAACTCGTGTTTTTTAACTTTTCTATCTAACCCTATAACGAAAATTTAAAAAATGCGTTTTGTAAATCTCGGTTATTTATATCCATGTTGAAAATTTCATCGAAATCGGTGGAGCTTGGTATGAGCTGTAAACAATTAAAGATCGCAATAATCGCAGTTTTGTCCTAATTTTTGATACTTTCGACCAATAAGTATAAGAAATCTGCAGTTTTTTAAATCTTTTAACGCTTGTAACTTGCTTTGCGTTAATCGATTTACATCGATTTAGATCTACAAAACGCATTTTTTAAATTTTCGTTATAATTAGTAAGCAATTTGTCCTGAATTTAACACGAATCTGATCTTACGCTATTATGTCAAATACCGAGCCATCCGTCTGCCCATTTCACACTAGATTTGGCGCGAAAGCCTTGTCCATGTCAAATACGGGACAAGTCCAGGCCAAACCTTATACCATATCTGCCACATGGGTATGTACTATCGACCTGTCCTTTTCAACCGAAATGTTTCGCTACAAGATTGCATCAACTTTGCCATTGATTTGGCAACGCAAAGCGTCTGTTCCTAAATTCAAATCATCTATTTCCGTATTACGCCAGAGAGTAGTGATTTGACCTTCGCGAAATACATATCAAATTCGAACCAGAAGCAGTGTTTTTGCACCAAATTGACATAAATTTGCCCGCAAAGTATGCTACCAAGCGTTTTATATTTGATATCAGATTTGACTCCCTAGGTAGGTTCGGATAAAAAAATTTTAAAAATGAAAGTTTTCTATTTCCTTTTGTCATTCGATGCAACAGCAAAATTTAAAAAAAACATTCTAGTTGTGGTCTAGTAGACTGGTTCCTCTGTTATCTAAAATAAAAATTAAAATCGTTTCGTGTAGTTCTAAAAAAGTTATTGCGTTTTAAAAGGTGTTCGAATATTAATCAGAGACACTGTATCAATAAAACTGTCCGACAAAATCAAACTTTTTTTCTGGGTTCCTATAGCCACTATGAAATTCTTGTAGAGCTTCACTCCCTCAACAAGAATCCGAAAACCAAATTGCTCCATCACCCTCAGTTTTTTAAATAAACGAACTTTTGCAAAAACCCAAAATTATCGACAAAAATGAGGTACTGCATGGAAAGTACAAATGTTAGAAAGTTCTAATTTGTGTTAAAAGATAGAGGAGAGTTTCCTGAATATAGTGGCATGCAATTTATGAATTGATTTTGGTCCTAAATAGCAATAAATTGATGTCAAAGTTTAAAAAAGTGTCTACGTGCGCAGTTTCTCCGCAATATTTTTGTATTTTTACGAAAAGTTCTTTGTTCAGCACAAAAACTCTACCCAAGATCGGATTCTGTAGACAGCTACAGAATAGATAAAAGTGTCAGAACGATGTACATTTTAAGTAGGTTGAGAAAATGTTCGTCGGCAACATGTACACGATGTTTGGCCGCCATGTGCTTCGCTGCACGCTTCTCTCTGTCCGACAGGTCCGAAGCTATGGATAATCAACACCGATGGTAGGATCCAATGGGGCACCACTTAGGCGTGTGGAGCGTGCCATTTTTTTTTAGTACTTCAATGTGCTGTCGTCTTTTACATATTTTTATGGATAATAATCAATGAACCATAAATTAAAAAAGAAGGAATAATGAAAGAAAAATAATGAACAAAAAATATTCATTTTATTCTGAATTTGTTCGAATTACAAGTATATCATGTATACAGTTATCATTTCAATTATAACGATAATATGATCATGAATAAATAATCATTTTCAAAACGTTAAACTTCTTGAAACATATCGTTAAATATATATTTAAATATTTATTTAATTATATGGTGTAGAAGTCAAAATTATACTAGTGTTAGAATACTTTCGTTACCAACTCCAAATACTCTGGTGTGATTTTTTTTGTGATATACATCACAGTTTGGTGATTATTATCCACAGAAATATGTAAAAAAAAAAACAGAACATTGAAGTACTAAAAAAAATTCAAATATTATTTACGAAAAGTGGGTGCCCCATTGGATCCCTCCATCGATGTTGATTACGCGTAGCGTCGGTCCTGCCGGACAGAGTGAAGCGTGCAGCGAAGCTCATGGCGGCAAAACGTCGTGTACATGTTGCCGTCGAACATTTTCTCGATCTACTCGAAATGTATATCGTTCCGACACTTTTACCGGGCCGTTTCTTCTTCAAAAATGTCTACAGAATCCGATCCTGGGTAGTGTTTTTGTGCTGAACAAAGAACTTTTCGTAAAAATACAAAAATATTGCGGAGAAACTGCGCACGTCGACACTTTTTTAAACTTTGATATCAATTTATTGCTATTTAGGACCAAAATCAATTCATAAATTGCATGCCACTGTATTCGGGAAACTCTCCTCTATCTTTTAACACCAATTAGAACTTTCTAACATTTGTACTTTCCATGCAATACCTCATTTTTGTCGAAAATTTTGGGTTTTTACAAAAGTTCGTTTATTTAAAAAACTGAGGGTGATGGAGCAATTTGGTTTTCGGATTCTTGTTGAAGGAGTGAAGCTCTACAAGAATTTCATAGTGGCGAACAGTGTAAGCGGAAAGTGACAAAAAATATCGTTCACGGCAAACACGCTAGTGCCTTTTAATAATTTTTTTAGAATTTACAATAAACTAATGGAGTACTTAAAAAGTTTTATTCTCTTAACTTTCTAGTGGTAACCAAATTTTTTATAGCTTGTTTTACAGAATGTTAAGACGTCAAATTGACGTACGCCACCAGTTGAAAATTAATATTATATCAAATGTTACATTAAAATTTTTTTGTTTATAATTATTTGTTATATTATTGTGATTATCGTTCAAATAGATGAAAGTGATGGTATTCCAGACAATCTTGGTAACTGAGATCCTTACCCTATATGACAAGGTGGTTATCAGCATAAGATAACGCCACATGATTATGTAGCATTGAGGCATGGCACAGTGTGCACAAATGCTTACAGCAGGGAATATGGAACCTGACAATAACAACAGCAGTACAGATGTAAATTTATTCATATCCAAACATATTATGAAAAATGCAGAAATTAAGTACATATGTATGTGCTGAATGTAGTGAAACATTGTAGAAGTTTTTGCTGCTACGAACATCATGCTGAATTGATTTGCAGCACTGCCTATTCCAATTATTATTATCCAAACCTAAGGGACATGAAATTAAAGCAATCGTGAAAAATATCATTAACAAGGCCAATGTTGTAACAGTGTCAAACATTAAAAGACACAAATTTTCTTAAGTATAAGTATAACAAATTTTGCTCCTTTGCTTCGCTATATGCGTGATGGAAAAATTCAGACATATATGTTTGAATTAAAAATGGTACCACCAAAAATTTATTTAAATGTTTTGAGTATGCATTAGAAAAGCATAATGTGCCAATCAATAACATTGTTGGTGTTTCTAGCGATAACGATGATGTTATACTAAAAAAGCATCTCCGTCACTCTGTTATAGAAAAAAAACCCAGAGTTAGTTATATTTCGATGTATTTGTGATAATTTACATCTCATTTCTGCTCATGCACACACTTTTCTTCCATGTTGTAATGATTAGTTGATGTATCTTATTTATAAATATTTGTCAAAGAATAGAAAGAGGCAGTATGAATTGGAGGAGTTGCAATCCTTAATAAATACACCGAAACATAAAGTTATTGAACTATCGAAGACAAGATAGTTAGCATAAAGTGAATACGTACAAAGAATGTTTGAACATTGAGATTTACTAATAACATATTTTGAAGGGGAAGATAATTATATATAAAACAATGCTTATATACAATTTTTAAATTATACTTTGAAGATCATAACATCATATAATAAGATTTTTCAAAGCACTCAAATTTTAATCCATACAATGTTAGAGTAATGTGTTCTATTACTAGAAGAATTAGAGTGCAATCTCCTAAAATAAAACATTATTCAAGATAATAACTTGCATGAGGTAGATGTTTTAAATACAGAAAATTCGCTTCCTCTGGATTCCATGAATGTTGGTGTAGCAGCAAGAAAAACAGTGTCCAAGTTTATGAAGATGATTATTGAAACAAATAAAACAGTTGAATTTAACAATCATTTTTAAAATCACTAAAATTGTTAAAAGCTTCTGTCACATCAAATATAGAAAAACTTAATAATTAATTAAATTATAACAGCAGATGACGAGTGAGGAGAAATTACTTAAACTAAATATTCATGATTTTTGTTGTAAAATTAATGACATTAAACATCTCATTGATGCACAAAAATTTAAGCATATTAGACAATTATCATTGCTATACTCATCTCTGCCTCATTTAAATGTAGAAATTGAAAAATTTTGTTTACTTGTTAGTGAGATTAAAACTAAAAAGTTATAACATTCTAAGTATCTTCGTTATTAACAAATATGTGAAAAACTGATTCAAACTTGATTCAAGTTCTTTTGTTCAATGAAATAAATATAATACCGAAGAGCAAACTTTTTTTAAAAGTTTGAGATTTCAGGGTCATGACTTTGCATTAAACACACAGTTATGCAGCATATTGTGGTAGTCTACGTAGCATGGTAGTCATAAGTAGCACTTATGTGGTAGTCTACCACTGATAGATGTGGTTTGGCCTGGATTTGGTCCATATTTGGTATGGATATAGCATTGGTGCCAAATCTGGTATTAAATGCGGAAACGGATGACTCGGTATTTACATAACAGCGTACGATTGGATCCATGTCAAATTCAGGACAAATTGTTTACTAGGTACTTCAATTTCATGGACTTACGGCTATCTGTATAATTTTATGTTAAAATGTGGACAAATGGCTTGAATTTTTTTAAATACTGGTATCACTACTTTACAATTCTAAAAGAATTTTTGCAAAAGTTGCATTTAGTTGAAATGAAAAAAACATTTTTAAATTACATTTTTTAGATTTTTTATCTAAGTCTATAATAAAAATTAAAACAATGCAATTTATAGATCTCATTGCCAGTAACCTGTATGCATGTTAAAATTTTCAGCGTAATCGGTTAACATAGAAACTACTTGCAGGCACTGTAAGATATCAAGATCTCTAGATGACTGCAATTTTTGCTATCTTTCATTGTTTACACAAAATGCAGAGAGATCAACACAATGCATTGTTTAAATTTTCATTATAGGCTTACAATTAGATATACAATTCAATAAAACGTAATTTTTTTGTTGTTCCTGCAATCTCTTTATTCTGTTTCTCTAGATTGAAATGCTCTATTCAGTTTTTAAATATCATTTGTTGTTCCCAAAATATTTCACAAAATAAAAGATATTGGCATTTTTTAAGAGTTGTTTTCATTCCTTTAAACCATGGATCGGTCCAAAAACTATGGCGGTGCCTCAGATTGTGCTGATTACATGTGAAATGTATTTGGACAAAAGATAATTCTGATATTGTAGAGCTGGATTAGTGAAGTTCTACTGTATCTGGGCTTTTACAGCTACAACCCAGACAATTTTAACTAGTTTTTAAATTAGATGGAATTATCATTATTAATGGAATTATCATAAAGAAAAGTTTGAGTAAATTATAAACAGTAACCACAATTAAGAAATACAAGTAAAATATTATAGTGGTATCGAATAACTATTTTATTTAAGATTGTACATACATGTACTATATATATAAACTATACAAAATAGGTAGATGAGAAAAAGAGAGACAGTTATCAAATTATTTATTCTATTATATTTTTTTGACTGTTAAAATATTTCCAAGTTAGTTATTAACATACAACAAAAATAAATTCAAATTATAAATTACTTTTTCTTATTTAATCCATTAACAAGGATTAACAACATATCTTTAATTAAAATTAAGATAAACTTAATCTTAAATCAAAATTATTAATTTTATTAACAATTTATATATCTTCAGTCTTTTCATATATTTCCGATCGCGGTTAAAACATCCTTCTTAGTGATAAGATATGTGTGAAAATTATTGCATGTTTAAACATCGGAGAACCTGGATGGATGTCTCCAAACATATTGAAGATTAGGACAGATCCAGGCAGATTCAGGGATTCGGACGGATAGCAACCTCAAAATTGTATCTAATATTTTTACGCAATCAAAAATTTTCAAATCTATTAGCTTATAACAGTTTTTTTAATAACCAGTATAATCTGCTGATTTAATAAAAAGATTTAACAAGACTTTTGCGGCTAGTTTTTCTTACAAATGACCACCGATTTATATGTAAGTATAGATTTACTCTTATGTACAATAACATTTTGAAACCATGTACCTTCAAGGGTAAACTGCCAGTTTAAAACTGGCCATCTGCTAGTAGTTCGTTTCGTTCGTTTATCCCGCGTTTATGAACAGACACGTGTTTGTGGTGTACGCTAAGTTGGATTTCAATATTAGACTATTGTTAGTTGGTTGCTGTGTTATAGATCATTCTTCCTGAATCATCGCTGCAAGAATTTGGACAGTTTGCGAATCCAAAGAATGTTCGTAAGTAAAGTATATACGTAGACATATAAAATATCATGAGCTAACCTCAAAATGAGCCTCGCGGAGGGTGCGTAATATATTGAAGAATTAAATGAATTAAATAAATTTAATTTAGATTGTACGCGCGAATGCAACTATAATTAAAAATAAACAAAGTCAGATTTAATGGACGACCAAGGATGAACAAGCATTAGCACTATTATTTGTATCAAAGAATCAATTAGACTACATTAAAAGGTGCAATATTGCAAATGTAGCATGGAAACAATTAAATAACATACACGAGTCTAAAAATGTAGTGAGGAAGCATTTTTATCTATTGCATTATTAATTTCTCTTTCTGGGTTCTCTTTTATATCGCAATAGATTACAGAGATAATGCCCTAGATCTAGTAAAACTAAAATAAAAATTAATTGACAAAACTACGAGAATTCTGACTTTATTGAATTATGTTCTCTTCACTTGGAAATTATGTGACCCTGGTTTTTGCAATAACAATAAAAACATTGATTTACAGTTTTACAAAATTCATTCTAAGATCTACGCTGATAATAATTTTGATAATGGGTTTAGTTTGAAGTAAAAAT